GTCTGCTTGAATGTTTAACATCAATCACTTCAAAAAGGTTAAACATAGACGCAGCAGACAACAGCATTAACTGGTAAATATTACAAAAATTTACTGAGAGAATTAAAGGACATACACTGACTGATCCATCTTCTAAAATACTGTGCAAACAAAGGGTAACTAATTTTCAAAAAGCCTACATCAGGCAGGATTTTAGAACAATCGAAAAAGCTCTGTGCACAGCTACGCACACCCAGGCACACCACCGCCTTAGGCATCTGCAGGGACTGGGACCCGCCGTACGAGCGAGTTTCTCTCCAGCACGTGTTGCATGCCTTAAAGCATACAACACAGAGAAGGTAGTCCTGACAAAAGGCAGTTCTATGAGAGGAAAATCTCCTTTAAAAGCATAATAGTAAGCATTCATCTTTTAGCTCCCTCTACCCTATTTTACTTCTTCCAGGACCTTGCTCATCCTACATTTAAGGTTTAACTAAGCATACAGTAGGATGCTAAGTTGTGTGGAGTACAAGTTTCAAGACAAACTACCTTGTCCTTTGGCAACGAGACGCAGGCACCGACTGGAAGGCAACTGTAATTCTTGTAGCTGTAGACGAGGCTAGGGTGAAAGACTTGGGCGGGTTTTTCAACTGACAAGATAACTTAGGGGAAGAACCTCTTGATATTACAACAGAGTTATGAAGAAGGTTGTAAATAGCCGCATCACAACTGGTTCCTACCAATTGCTGACTACGTCTAAAGTACCCGATTAGACGAGTAAGTGACAGATGGCAGTTTCCTCCTTTCCACATCCTGAGCAAAACAGTAAAATTTTCTCAACTCTCCCTACAGTTGAAAAATGTGGTATGGAAAATAATTATGCTGATGGGCTCTTAACCGGCTATTATTTCTCACAGAAGAATCTGGAAGGTGTAACAGATAGTCCTGCACAAGCATCAGCTCCACTGCGCAGCAGCAGTCACAAAAGGGAATGGACTGCGAGTAATTATTAGTAAAAGGCTAGATTAAAAAAACAAAAGCATTACAATGCCACTGCATATAGCCATAATGCAGATATATCTTGAATACTGTATGCAGTTTTGTTCTTCCTCTCAAAAAGAATTTAGTATTACTAAAAAGAGGACAAAAGCGGCAAAGCTGACTGAAGCCAGGAAGTAACGTTCGTACAAGGCGCACACAGATTAGGACTTTTCAATCCAGGAAAGAGAAGAGCGAGTGCAGGCAGTAGAAACATCTATAAAATCATGAGTGGCACAAAAAGTGAATAGAGAAAGATTATTCAATGTTTTTCACAGTGCAGGAACTAAGGAGAATCTATTTTCTCAAATGAAACTGGCAGGTGGCTCAAAAACAAACAAAAGGAAGTACTTTTTCACACAATGTGTAGTTAAACGCTGGAACTAATTGCCACAGGATGTTGCAGATGCCAAAGTTTACGTGAGTTCAAAAAGCAATTAGAGAAATTCATAAGAGGAAAAAAAAAATCCATGAAGGGCTATTAACCACAAAAGGTATTACCTCAGGATTAGGAAAATCTTGGAACAACAGACTGTTAGATGCCGGGAAAGCATACCAGGGAAGCATCACTATATGCTTAACCTGTTCTTACACTGTTCCCCAAGCACCCGCACCTGCTCATTGCCAGGGACAGGATGCTTGGACACACAGACCACAGGCCTACTTCATTACAGCCATTCTTACAGGTTTGCAGCATTGAAAAAAAGTTTTTAAAGTCACTTTTCCCAATTTGACTATTCATCTTTAGCTCTACCCCTTTTTATATCTTATGCATATCTGTCTTCCAGATGTCCCTAGTCCTAGGGCTTATTTATTTCCAAAAATTTAATATTTGTTCTCTAGAATAAGTATCATGATGCATAATTCTTGTATCAGTACATTACAAACTTTGTAATTTGTTAGAATCTGCGCCAAGGGTCTGTTTAGAGTCTTTAAGATATCTAGAATAAAATCTGAAGTAAACACTGAGGAGAAGCAGGACGTGAAGGCGACTGCGTACAGAGCTAAAACAGCATTCGAGGATTGAGAATACTGACAGAAGAGCTGCTCCAGTAAGTTCTGAGATGTTTACGGGCTTTCACTATGAGGTGGGTCCTTATGCTGTAGCGTAAGCGAGACAGTGTTGCTGTGTTATCGGTATCAAGACAGAACCGCCCCAAACTCAGGTATTTAAAAAAATTTAGATTTACAAGCAGAGTTTCAAATCAGGAAGCTCATTAACAGCAGCACATTAACAAATTTAGGCTGGAAATTAAAAAAGAGTTTGTAACCATCGGAATGATATTCTGGAGCAGATTCGCTGCATGAACAGCGAGCACTAACAAGTTAACTGATGAAAAGATGGAGCTCAAGATATGTGAATGACCCGGATTATATAAACGCAGCTGCCTGCAACAGAAGGAGACTGGATTTCATGACTCAGGAGATCCCTTCCGCTCCATTCCTAACTAAAATACAAACACTTTATGAACACGTGTTGTGGGAGTGAGGATTTTCTTTCCTTAAGCAGAATCCTGATCGCTACTGCATGCTGTAAGAGGAAATTACTTGTAGAGCATTGAGCTCTCAGGTGGCTCTATGCTATCAAAACAGGTCTGTCTCAGGAGCATAAAAGATTGTAACAAAGACAAGCTTTCTGTTCACTGAGGGGAAGGCAAAGAAATCCTTTTTCCCTGTCATTTGCCCATAAAAATATAACCACTTAGCAATAAAAGCATGCAGAAAGCAGAGAACGCTTCTGATTTGAGTGCAGACCTAAGCAATGATAGTTTTAAAATCTTTCCATAGGTACAATAAAACAGAGTAGGTCAGCACACATCGTTTTGCACCGAATAATGATTATTTCATTAAAAAAATGTGCCTGTCATTTGTGACCTGGACCTGAAGAAATATAGTGCAGTGATGGCGTTTTAGCTACACTGTAATTTATGAAATGCATACTAAACAAATGAAGCAAACTTACTAATGCACAGATAGTTCTGATCATAAACACACAGGCAGACTGCTCTTACAGGTCTAGTCATAGTTTATAAGATGACCCCAGCTGCTACTGCTTTGAAATGGAAAGCTATTCCTAATGCTGGTGAGAAGCAAAACTGACAACGCTAAAATCCCAAGTCAATTTCAGTGCTAAATAAAAGCAGGTGAACTTAAATGCTCTGTATTTTTTTAGTGTTCTGTCTATTTTGCTTTGAAATATGGAATATTTAAGAATAAATCAAAATTAGCAATAATTTCACACCATAACAGTATTTGCTCAGGGAAAAAAAAAGCAAGACAACACTTGTCAGAAAGCAAGAAACACTGCTCACTAATAAAAGGAGATCATTGCCTCATCTATGTCCCACTATGCAGCTTATTACTAATTTTACTCAAAGTAAGCTGAAAATAAAGAGGAAAAAGCCTCACTGCGTGAAATACTTTCCAATGTAAACAGAGGGCTACACCAAGACTGATACAATGCTTTAAAAGCGAGACAGGATGTTCGGTTACCATTTTGCACCAATAATAAGTATATACAGTCACACCAGCTGTTTCAGAGTCCAAACAGCATAAAAAGCCTGTTTGGGCTAAGTACACTAAAGCTGCTACTCGCCGTTCCAAAATACTACAGCAACACTTTCTAAAAGTCAAATGCATGCCATAGTTACCTGGGTTTTTAACTTAAAGATAACACTTCCAGTGTAATCAAACCAGCACTGCCAAAGATAAAACCTTAGATTTTTATTGTAAGCAAAACATTTGTTTTATATGACCTTTATGCATGTCAAAAACTGGAAGACATCAAAACATAATTCACACATAGGAAACTGCAAGAGCAGTTATATGCTCTTCTGTCCCACTGAGCCTTAGAAATCAGTACATGGCTAAATAAAAGAAGAAATAAAAGAGAAACACTCAACACAGTGTTCAGAATTAAAGATCCAAAGTCTTATGTTAGGAGCAAACTAATTGCTGCATCAAACACTCAAACCAAAGATAAAACAAAGATAAAACAAAGAAGGTCGCCACTGATCTCAAAATGCAGATATTTATGCATCTACATAAATATTATTTATTGCCCTTTTTTTTTTTTTTTTTTAAAAAAAGTTTTACACAGCACTTTTTTTTTTTCCTGCCAAGCGTGCAGATGGGGTTTGGGTACAAATCTCACAGAATGCCAGGGGAACGCTACCAAAAACCCTACATATGTGCAAGAGCTAGTTTCATTAGCTAAAAGGCCTACTAAACCTTCCTGGACGTGCAGGTAGACAGCAGGAGTATCATCTGGCATGGCCTGCCCCGGCCATTTAAAAATCTTTCACTGTTTAAAACCTCCATGCAGTAACAACAGAACTCTTAACAGTTTCTGGGTGACTCCAAGCACTAAATATTGTAATCCTTCTAGAAAGTTAAATCTAGATTTTCTTCCTTGTTAAAACTCTTAATACAATGGCAATCTCACCTTAATTAAAAAAAAAAAAAAGCGTATCTGATATTCAGTTTTGACAGGGTTAAATCTGTGTTAAAAGTCAGGTCAGCACTATCTGTGGGAAGGCAACATAATTCACCTAATGAAAGAAAAAAGGTGGGATCAAAACCTCCTTATACTGTCAAGTTCGAATCACCCAGAGACAGTTCTCTGAGGTACAGATTAACCATGTTGTACCTGGGAAACAAGAACTTTCCTTCTTATTTACAACACTACTCTTTTTGACTATGTTTTTCAATATACTGAGGTAATGTACTTTTAATCAGTGAATTTACATCTAGTTTAGATTATGCTGTTTTATACTTTGCACCACCCATGTCCACCACTGAATCAATGAGATTCGACCGTATTCAAAAGGTCTATTTGTAATGCTTGTCAAACACTAGCACATGAATGTCCCACATAGCATTAAGTGAGCTCAGCTTTACTTTTCTGCCTGTAAGAATAGTAGTCAGAATCTAATTGTTTCATTTCAAGTCAGTTCTAAAACACTAATGGAGCATGTACTCACTGAGATCCTCTGCCAGCTGGACCCTTTTGCCAGTTAGTAGCTTAACTTTTTTTTCATTGTCCTCAGCAAAGTCTTCCAGCACTTCCTTAACATTCTTCTCCAAGCGTCTTACTGAAGAAGGGGGGGAAAAAAAAAAAAAGAAAAAAGGAGTGGTAACACTTTGCACCTGTAATGGTCTAAAGATAAAACTTAGGAAAGGTTTTTGGGAGATGCAATATATGTTACCAGACAAACTAATCCAGTTGGAGAAAAAAAATAAACTTCTGAACACATAAGCCTCTTGTTCACTCTGATGAGACAGTTAATTCTTTAAGAGGGACATGTTCAAACTTAAAAGGATATTTTCTCTCTGAATAATTTTATTATTGGGTGACTTTTTAGGAGACAGAAAAATATCTCAACTTAAAAGAGAGTTCAGTTACTATTTTGGAAGAGTCTCCCTGTAACAATACAGTAATGACTTAAAAAATAAATTGAATGCATACATTATGAAGTACCTTTTTTTTTTTTTTTTAAAATGAGTTTGGATTTGTACTCAGAACCAGACAAAATCCACCATCTACTGAAGATACTCTCCTGAGACGTGCAACCATTAGTGATACCATATAAAGTGAAGCAATTTTTCCCATAAGAATCACTAGTGGGGGAAGGGGAGATACCTACAAGGGCTTCAAAAATTCACCTGTTGTAAATACACAGGGACCACATATATGACAAGGAGCACGGAGAGGAAAGAGTATCATCACCAGGATCATCAGCTGGAGGAGATGCTGGCTCTGTAGAGGCTGGCTTTTCAGCACCTGAAATCTTCTGGAGCATTAATTCTTATGGGAAAAACTGCTTTGCTGTCTGTTCAGTTCAGCAGTTTCTTCTTTGAGACTGAACGACCAACATAAATCTTTCAGTGCGAGTATCCTTGCTGCCTCTTTCTGAACAGTTACATTTTCAATGTCAACATCTTCCTCTGGTGAATCAAGGCCAAGTCAATTAAAGGCAAAGGATGGAAAACAAGGTAATGATGACAGTTAGCAGAGTGTGGTATTAAAGAACTGGCGACACATACAGGGATTTGCTGTAAATAGAAGCCTACCAGGAGTCAAACTCTTTAAAGCAGTATCATATCTCATCTTAACAATGAGATCCTTGCCTTTCATACTTAGAGGAAATACCTCCTAAAGGACAGAATTCTCAGCTGAGATCCAGGACAACTGGTTTCTACTCCTAGCTATGCCACTGCCTTGAGAGAAGCCTTAAATAAGTGACTTCCCTTCCTGTGCCCTAAGCTCCATTTTACCTAGCCAGTCCGTTGCCCTGGCATTCCACATGACCCTAACCTACTCTTTGGAGGAACTCCAGGGATGGGTTGTGATTTAGAAGTTCTACACGGCTGAAGTCCTACACACTTCAGGAAATTTTTTGCAGATTCTCAGTCTGGCAGCATTTGTCAATCAGCTAGGTGGCTTTCTACATTTAGGGGCATTTTCTTCTCTATGGAGAGTGATTTGCAGGACACATGACAGGTTCAAACCTTTTCCTTGAACTTTCTTCAATAAGCTAGTTTGAAAAAGTATATTTTACATATAAAAGGTTATTAGTAGTAGTTAAACCATGGCATCAGCTGATTTCTGCATAAATAACGTTTTACAAGGAACCTGCCAAATTATATGCTTATCTAGAATATCGCCTGGCACATTTGCATGGCTTTAAAAATTAATTACAATTTATATTTGATATCAAACATTTTTAATTAAAAGCTACAGCAAGATTGACCTGACAAGGAAGAACACAGCGGCTATTTATCGAAATTCTTTCTGCTTAGAAAGAGATATTGACATTAGTATCACAAACTGAAAATAATTAAAACACTTTTCTCAGTTTAAAATATTGGACATTCTATTTACATTAAATCTCTACATTGTGTCCTTTAATCACTTAACCAGGAAACAAGAAAACGGCCCATCATCATGAACTTGAAACGAACATGCAGGTAGAAGAGCACTAGAAGTTTTTTAAATTATTATTTTTTGCTTCAAACACCACAACCGACTATGAGCTTTACCTTCGGTGTTAGTAAGCTGCTGCCTCAGCGTATTTGCTGTAATCGCCAGCATTCGCTGTATTCGCCAGAAGAGGACAATATCATTACATTCAAGCTGAAATAAGGAAAGTTTTTAGCATTAGTCCTCTGATGTCCACTGAACATCGTATGCTTTTACAAGAATCCCTTGACATACACTCTTAATGACAACCGCAAACTCACGTATACACCTCCTGAACTTGCACAATAACAGCAGTTATTCTGTGGGATAAGTAACAACAAAATATGCCAAAAATGCTGTCAAGAACCGTCTAAGCCATATTTAATTATCTTGCATTTTCTCTAGATCCACTATTTTCATTTTTCAACAGAAAGAGCCGTATCAACATTCTTATTGCATTACTTTTATTGTATTACTAAACAGCAATTTACACCACAGCTTACATACAGTATGTGCATAACCTAATGCTCACAACACACTTGTCCCTAACAAGCACATTGAAAGGACTTCACAAAGCTAAAGTCTATATTGTGACTACCAGTCCGACAAATGCTTCTGAAGACAGTGCTGGGCTAAGGGCTATATTAATTAACAACAGAAGAGATAGTTTCTGCATCTGGGAGGATGGCAGGAAGGAGTACTATCTTCACAGCAGGACTACTTAAAAAGACAATAACAAGAAAGAAGAGGTTGGATACCACAGAATAGCAGCTCTCCATCCCATGATCTCATTCTCTCCCATTCTTTTTTCTTGTCTTTGCTTGTAGTCGAGATTCCAAGGCCATTTCTGCACTAGTAAAGATTTCTAGCTCCATGGAGATCATTGTTTCTCATTTAAAAGCAAAGCAACGCTCCAAGGAAAGTGAAGACATCTACCTTTTCAGTAATTTCTCTTTGATTTAAAAAAACAGTGATAAGAAAAGTATGTTTTTTCTTGGTGTGATTTCGTGTGTACTGTCATTTGTTTTCCAAATTTGGCTCTACAAAAGCAGCAACTGATTTAACTGAAAAGGTCCAGCTGAAAGCTCTGTGGTTTATTTTTATTATGAATCACCTGTGGTTCCAAACATTAACTCAAAAAACCTATTTATCAGACTTATCCCACAAAAAATGCCTTACTTCATGTTTTCTCTGAATTTTAAATATCAGTCAATAGCTGTGTAATACTGTTTTTTAGCTGTGTCTTTTCAATACACGTTGATAAGTAACAGACGTTTAGACTGATACCTAGTGGCCACTTTATACAATTACCACCAGGATGGAATTTTATCAATTACAAACCGATGTAGTCAAGATAAAGGATATAAAAGAAAAGTTAGTCTAGATTTAAAACGTTTAGGGGGGAGGAGGTCTCAAACCGACATGTATAAATATTCAGACAAAAAAAAAAAAAAAAGCGTCTATCTGTTCTTCAATTTACCTCTGAGTCCACAAAGTGCCTTTGATAGTAATAGAAGCCTCTTCGACACAGATTGCAGTGGCTCAAAGCAGTCCTCAGGAAATATCTTCTATAAATTTGGTGCCATGTGTCTTTAATCTAGAAAAACAGAATTTAAATTTGATTAAATAAATACAGAAACTCTACTTTAACAATCACATTTGATCTTAAAATAAAATTCAGAATTCCACAATCTTTGTCACATAATACACATTTAAATGTTTCTCAGAAATTGATCAATTAGGATATGATCAATGTTTTCGCTGAATTTGGCAAACATTACAGATGATTTTGTCAATTTCAGTCTACTCTTCTATGTTTGTTATACATTTGAATGGTTAAAAATATTGTCTACAGCCAAGATACATTTTTAAACGATATACTCCAGATTAAGAAAAATTATGCTGCTCTTAGCATGATGCAGCTTTCACTTTAACACTGAGAATACATTTGAGTGGAGAACATTAATTTATTAGCTAGATCAGGTTAAAGTGTAAAGAAAAATTTCATGGATCTTAGTGAATTATGTAAACAAACATTTGTAACTTTCCTTGATTTGGTTTATTTGTTTCACTTCTTCCGACTAAATACATACATTGACATGACTCTTCAAAAAAAAAAAAAAAAAGTTGCTTAGGTAAAATCAAAACTAAATTGGCGCTTAGTGTCCTCATATAGAGGATATGGATCGCAACACTGACTTTTGTGAAAAGTTGTGATAAGTGCTATATAGGAAATAGGCAGCAGATATTTGAATAACTTTACTACCTCAAAATACATTCACAAATGTCAGAAAGGTAGCCAAAGCTACTGCAGAAAATAAATTGTTGTTAAAGCAAAACTATATTTATTATTTGAATTTCTGTTCATTTAAAATCTTGTATTTAATTAGATAAAAGGTCTAATTATGATTAAGAGCCTTGCCCTGCAATAAAATGAATAATTTTTCCGAACATTTTAAACCTACATTACCATCCTTCAAGGTAGTTCTATTAAACTGCCTTTTTGCAACTATTTTTGCAAAGTTTCCCACTCTTGCATGTAGCTATGACCTTCAAACCGCGCATACAACTACACAGAACAGAACCTGTTTTCTCATATCTTGCTCACAAGGGTCTTGATTCCACTGTATACCACTGTATACCACATACATAATAATTTTAAGTCAGGCTTGCCATAATTCAGGCCTTTCTGGTAGGTGAGAAAATCTGCTCAGCAGATTTTGACTTCAGTCTAAACTGTCAGATTCCAAAGTGGTGTCCTGCACTTATCTGACAGCCAACAGAAGAGAAGCGTGTGAATTGTATGCAAGCAGTCATTTAATAATTCATTTGGAAACATCTGGATGACAAACTAAGTATTCGGATATGGTCTTTTTAACGTCATCTAGAAAGAGGATACAAATGTTCACAGAAGACTTCCATATGTTTTATCATAATGTTGTGTCTTACCAGACACGGGTCCACTGTTATTCCTCTTGCTTCAAGATTCTTTCTGACAGTCGTCACTTCATCGTTTGCCAGATAAGCTGCATGATCTTCATTGCATTTGATTAATTTCTCAAGCTCATTTTTTGTTTCATTACGAATATTCTGCAGTAAAAATGACCAGTTAGAATTAGTAAGTTACTCAGGGATGGCAATCCCTGACTCCACCTCCTTAATAAAGGAGGCAGACTTAACAATTACTTAATAATGAGTCTGAACAGAAAATCCCTTTGAAACTAGTAACTCTTACTTGTATCTGATCTAGAAGTGCATTTACTCACAGACAAATACAAATACAGTATTTTAAAATGCTAATTAGTTGTCATTTTTTCATAATATTTTTCCTGTTCATTGCGGACAGAAATACAGAAGAGGAAAGGAAGGGAAAAAACATAGGTTTTAAGTCTTCCTTTCTCTCCATGAGCATCAGCTGATTTGGTTCATTCTCACATCAAATGATAGGGATTTTGCAGCTCTGCAAACCCCTCTTTAGTTTGGGACTGCATCTGCCCCTGCAGTAGGCCTAACCAAAATTTCATGCAAATTTTTGGTTTTGTCATTTTCTTTTGATACAAACAGCAGCAAAAACAAAGGCTTTACATTTTCTGCACACAGAAATAAAAAACATAAGCAGAGGTAAACATACCCAGCATCAGCAGTGACAGTGATGAAAATGTCACCTTCACCTAACAGCTAGCAGAAAGCCTGCCTGGTCTCTACTTTCATGGAGTCATACCTTCAGTTTGTTGCTCATTAAATTCAAGTATGACAGGTTGAAATGACTGCCTGCCTCCCATACCTGGCTGCACACAGTTGACTGCAAAACCCTTTCCTCTGAAAGGATTAATTATGGCAGTATTCTTTTAAACTCTACTTACTTCTTAAAAGTATGATTCAGTTTGAGAAATATCTAGAAAAAGTAACATAAAAAGCCCATCACTGGGCAGTGAAAGGAAAGAGAACTATTTAAATTTAAAAGTAGACGTTTCCAAAAGCTATGAGGAAAGTGAGAACAGAGGTTATGATAGAAATGGTCAGGCGGAATTTACAACTGTTACTAAAATGCTAGCAATAATACAGTCACCTACTAACGAAATTCTGTGAAGCACGATAGGAAACTGCACGAGATTTCTGCTTCAGAGGACATACTTGTAAGTATGCAAAAGAATAGCCCATTTTCTATCCCGTTTTCCTCAATTTCTTTCCACTACAAGAACTTTAATATATTCAGCTAAATGACACAATAGTAAAGATGTAATTCAGACAAAGAATGGAAACCAGTTTACAAACTGATATGTAATTATATCAAAAACTATATGCAATTCTCTGTGATGTAATACTTAAAACTTAATGAACAATAAAAGCAATTGCAAGGTATGCAAAACTTTTTTTTTCCCTTTTGGTAATACCTGTTCTTTGGTGCGGCCTACCCAGTATAACCACCTTTTCTTCCAGTCTGGACCCACCATATCTTCAATAACACATTCAGCTGAAAAAAGAAAACATGATATTAAGTATCACTCAAAATGTATGCAACTAGTGAAATGTATACAGTACTAAAAATAGGTACAAGGTCACAAAGAGACATTATATGCCCAAAACATAAGACATGCCATACGGGCTCAAGTTAAATGTCTTTTATTTAAAGCAAAAGTCTTACTACAATTTAAAAATGACTGCCAGTGAGAATTGGTAGATATGTCAAGGAAGAATATAAGAAACATGCCATCCCTCCACTGAGACAGCCTTCTGGATTTCACCAAGTCCAAAGACTGCAATTTTCCTGTATTGCAACTTGCATCAAAATTGTTATGCTCAATAACCATAAACGGACCAATTATTCTCCTCAATTCATCCAACTTTTTTTTATATGTTTGGCATATGACTTTTGATTCTATAGATCTCTACCATTTATCTTTCAAATGCCTTTTTTCAGGAGGAATAGCACTAGGTTACTGAGGCTTTATTTTACCAAACTCTTCTATCAGTATTAGTGCTGACTTAAACTGCCTCTGCTATCTCAGCTGTGCCAATACAAAAAATTTGCACCACTGTGGAGTGAACCAGATCAGGATATTGGCCCAGATTAAAAAATACAAGAGTGGAATATATCACACAACTCACTGTCTTTCAGACGACTTTGGAGGGTCTCTTCCATAAAATGAATAGCTGCATCCCACTGCTGTTTATCAGATATTGATCTATCTTCTAAGGCATTGTGCTGGATCACTCGCTGCAAGACAGGTCAACATTTCAGCATAAAATATATTATTTATTCAGGACTAGCAAAAAAAAAAAAATCTGATATTTTCTTCACTGTTTGGGGTCTATAAAAATAGCATTTAGAAAATAGCATTTAGTGGGCATACTGGATTTATTCAAGAGGAAGCTTCAGAGCCCTGCCAAAAATATTTTCTTGTGCCCTTAATTCAACTCTCTTCCTTAGCCTAGCGTAACAAACATAAAAAAAAGCGATGAACAATATGAGAACCCCTTGGACTGCAAAATCTACAAAGATGATGAAAATGCTGTTATCTGATGCGGCTACACTTATACAGAACAAATGAGTTGATACTAAGCACTTCTCAAAAGGCTGTCTGTCCAGTGCATCATAGAAGACTTCATTTTCCTGAACTGAGCCAAAACAATTTTATTAGCTGCTATTTAGGGTAACAGTTAATGAAAGGTAATAAAAAAAGGAAAGAAAAAGAGAAACATTGACTTGTAACACTGTATACAAACGGAAAGATAGATGCATTTCCCTATCATTTTATGACCATATTAAAAGAACAAATATAATGAACCTGCAACTTAGAACATGATTAAAATTAAAATTATTTCAACACCACCACGGAGGGAAAAAAGAAAAAGGGGCTACATTATACCAGGCTATCTTCTGCTCTCTCATTCCATTTATGTCGTTTAATACTTTCTTCTTTGACAGCTTGTTTCAGTTTATCAAAGATATCATCATGCTCTTTTCCTTTGTGTTCTGTCATGAACCGGGAAAATTCTTCTTGCAAAGTCTCCCATGCTACCTAGAAATTTAGCAAACAACACCTACTGAAGTGGACCATTATGCCATGTACCAGCAGGTAAAAGAAGATTTTTTTTACAGTGCTGGCAAGTACGAATTTGTGCACGCATTCTGAAGATGATGCACAAGCATAAGAGTAAGTCACTGACTTTTCCTTTGCTGCCTTATCCATTACTAACAAAATTAACACTAAAATTTACTTAAGTTGTAGCAAGTGGAATTGTGTTAAATTTGCACAAATTGGGTTTTTTTGTTTTGTTTTTAATAAGGCAACATTCACTAGAAGAGCAAAATAACTTTTGAAGTGTTCCTGTCGTACATGCTTCTTGACATCAAGATCATGGCAACTTCCTAACAGGTAAGCTGGTTAGAAGAACTTCAGCCAGTCCTTCAAACTATCACTTTACATCTCTGGAGCTATGCTTTCATTTAACAGACTCTGAATAGAAAACATTTGGTTTGTTTGTTTTTTAAATAAAAGATAGGGTAAATAAAAGTAGTAAAGTTCTAACCTCTACTGCTTTATTAGGTAGTTGCTTGTCAGTCCATTGCTTCAGTTTGATGTCCACAGTGGTGTTAAATGTCCCTGAGTTCATAGTCTGTGCTGCTGGTAGGTAAATATTCTCAATCACATGAGTTGATACCCTCTCCCACAGTGTTTTCTGAAGAATCTCCTCCCTAAAATAGAAAGTTATAACATAAGATGGCTTCCAATACAAAGTGTTCAGCAAGTAGGCACTCAAATTATGAAAAACACTGAGAGAATAGAAATATAGGAAATTTTCTTTAACGTCAGCACACAGCTTCAATGAATATCTACTGGAACTAAGGATGTAGCTACACATTGCCTTCAGCAGCAAACACAGCTTCAGAAGTTCACTTCTGTGCTGCTTGTGGATCCTTTGCACCCTTTAATTACATCAGTGTAAGCATGCTGAGCTGCGTATGCATGTGCATGGAAGGTGAGGGAATGACAAGGGAGCACACTGTCAAGCACTGCAATGATTTGACTAAAAGTCCACACTCCCAAAACAAAGTGCACGTGTTTTGTTTCTGTAGCATTCCAATTTGTTTGTTGGAACGTGTCATAGTTCTCCACTTGGGATTTTCACGGGTTGTTCCCAGGCTTAATGAACAAGAAAGCAAGCTGAGAATTCCAACCTTTTACCAATATATATACTGACATTCATTTACAGATGTGCCTGATGTCACTATAAAACTAAGCACCACTTTCCTATTTATGGTGCGTTTCAAAACGTAATAACGGAAAACTTTATTAATCTTAGTTCAATCTTTTCAAATAATCATAAACTTACTCTGAAAACTTTGCAGATGCACTTAGACAAATCAGCTGAGTTAGTGTAACACGCAGCCACTGACTACAGAGGCAGTCATGCTCCTTCTGCATTCACACAGTGTTTTTTTTTTTTTTTTTTTTTCTCTTGGTTAATTTTATGCTGGCTCAGTATGCTAAGTCATCTTACCAATGGGTCATACAAATGCCAGAGATGGTGGAAGGGTGGGAGCTGAGACCTCAAGAGTAAAAAGGGGCAAGGGAAGGAACTGTCTTTTTTGGTGGAACACGAAAGCCCACAGGCTAAAGTTCAGGACACAAACCTCATGCCTGATAATATCCCTGCTCTAACTAGGCCATCTCAGAAGAATGACTGAAGAACTTCTCACAAACGTCACTCCTCTTGTCTCAACAGCAGCATAATTCAAAGTTTTTCCTTCCTGTTTAGGCATCCTTCTTGAGTTTTAAAAATTTTGAAGCTGTGCACCTGACAAGCCAGTATAAATGAGGGTCAAGGCCTTTAGTTTCTCTACTGTTAGACCAGATTTCTGGCATTTTTAGGCTAGTAGAAGAATTTATACAAAACTAAAAAGAACTAAGCATTTAAATATATAAAAAAATTCACTACAAATAAAAACTAATATTGTTATCAGTAGAAGTGTTTTGCTTAACAACCTTTGTTCAAAGTAAGATGCTTTGATTAGTATTCAAACAAATATGCACTTTGATCAAAAATAACCACCCTTAAAGGAAGTGAGCATGTAGCAAAATAATTTCACTTACAGGATGTGCTAAAAACCATCTGTTATGGATTTTACCACTTAAAAATGCACTTTAGGAGAAGGGCAGTCCTCTGATTAAGAACAAATGCAATCTCATTCCTTCTTCACTGACGCGCCAATAAAAGCACACTTTCTCTTCACTTGTTCCAATCCAACTTAATTGGAAGGAATGGAAATTGTAACAGGACAGAAGTGTTTGCATTCATCAAATGCACTGATGTTTTTAGGCTGTATGTAATGGCTAACAAAATTATGTTTTCTGACTCAAATTTCTAATTCTACTTTATAAGCTCATTAAGTGTTATAAAATTAGAATCAGCACTATGTTCTAACTCTCAAAAGAAAAACACAGGAACTTTTGTGTTACGCTTCGTAACATACCCGATCAACAACAGAAAACGAAGCAGACTAGACGTGGGCCAGGGTACTTCAGGATCTGCGACGCAGTCAATAGCAGCAAACATCAAAATGGCAACACTTGCGTTACATTTGGACTACAGCATACACAGAGACTAACACACTGCCTATAACACGTTTTCTGAACACACTCCTATATCTGGACTTATTCAAATGTCATTAAGAACAAGTCATATTAGGTTAGTTCTTAATCTATGACCAAATGGCAATTCCCTTCATGTTACCTCAAAGCAAAGTCATTGAAGGAAACTTTGTGCTTGTCAGTTCTGATACAGGCTGTCATCAAAATAACCCTTTACAGTGGCTGTTCTCCCACACTGCATCTACAGTGGCTTTACCTACTCTTCAGTCATGCTACGCTCTTAAGATGCTTGGGCTAAGATCTCTTTCTCACACCTCTGTCTGCCTTACAGAGTAATAAGTTAGCAGAGTACGTGCTACTCGGGATTCAGGTTATCAAGGAGCTCTACATGCAGGATGAAATCACCAAACATCCAAATAAACTGATTTTGTAGATAAGAATTATATAATCTTTCAACTTCCATCGCTCTGATTAGCAGAGACATAAATTTTTTTTTCCAAGGTCACGTAGATTATTTTGGCATGGTTAGCAGTAATCCAAAATAGGAAGTCAAGAGGAATTACAGATTCATACTACAAATGAACATTTTAAAACATTCTTATTATGATTATTCCTTTCCATTGTGGGGGAAGAGCTGTTTATTATACTGCACAAAAAGAGAACAAAACATGAACTGCCATCATATAATTTGTGAGAGAGGATTATACAAATATTTGCTCATTCAGAATAATAGACCGACAGTTTACTTATGCATGGACAAAAGAAACAGGTATCAGAAGTTTACCTTTAAAATATAAAGAGTTTTAAAAAACAAAAGTCTTAAACAAAAAAAAGGAATTGTTCTTCTGAGAGCAACATATTTTTAACTGAAAAAGAAAAAAAAATGGTTACTGTACCAGTGCTTTGGTGTGACCTGAGTCAAACTTATGACTTCATCAAGAATCTCATTCTTGGCTTTTTCAAACAGTTCATTCTATGCAAAAGGAAAAATAAGAAATAATACGATTTTATTGTAACTACAGTTTGATCATATGTTCATACAAAGAGTAACAAAACCTTTTCTTATGGCTTTTAAGCCTAAGATGATACCTTCTGGTCATGTTCTGGGCAATGTATGTGCTTGTCATAAGCTACCCTGGTTAACCATGCCTCTTCCCACCCATCTGTTGCATGCCGCTGGCCAGGCAGGGCATTTGAATATTCAGGGACTCTATAAAAGAATTAGAGAATGGGATCATGATTGTTTTGTAATTGTCTGTCTGTCTGAAAGAACAGGGAATGTAACTTCTCTTCGCCAGTTTTAACTATCACGATCAAAAAGAAATAGATCTATTCTGGTGGGTAAATTAGATCAAATAACCAAATAGTAAAAAGGGTGAGTTTGTTTACTTTTGTTAAGGGTTAAATTATCAAAGTTTTGAAATGCACTATTTCATAGCAAGGAGAGCGCAATGTTTCCTTCCTCCAGAACTATTTAAATTGTCTCACGTTTTAAAATGTTGGTATTTTACGATAACTTTAAGAAACCTTTAAAAATTAGATTAAATGGCTAGAATTCCAATCTATAGTCTTCAATATTTTATAGCATATAAATTAAAATGGAAATGTAATTTACCCTGTCAAGCTCTCGCAATCGGGGGTAGTTGTTTTTCCATTCAGTCTCAAGATTAAAACGTGTGGCTACAAAAGAAAAATTGGAAACATGGCCTTAAAATTTGTGATCATCTATACAAACTTCACAACTATTTTAAAAGTTTAGCTGTTCTTCAAATTCCCCAAAAACTAGCTTATGATAAACCTGCCTAGAATTTCAAGTGTCAAATAGAACAGGTGGCATTAGAAAGATGTGGTTTTACTCACCTACAGCGCAAACTTGGAAGAGCCCCATAAGAAAAGGAGTTGCATTTTTAATCATAATTCTACATATTAATCAACACTTGCGTGATATCTTGTACTATATCGTCTAAAGCTATGATACACCTGCCATTAATTTGATTGTTTCAATGTTAAACACATGTACAGTTCCAAAGAAATGCATTTACCAAAAGTTTTCTCTGTGGTTGTAAATATTTCACAACTTTAAAAATATTACATTCAAGTAAAAGAACTTGAGGGGAAAAAAGGGGTACGAGAATAATTTCACAAACTGTCATATAACTTACGATAAAAAAATCTTACTTTCACATCATTTCTAAATCAGAATGATTCAGAAGAGTACATTCATAATCCAAAGTCACATTCATGTGTCAGTACAAGCTGGTAACTGACTGGCTAGGTAACAGCTCTGCAGAAGAAGACCTGAGGGTCCTGGTGCACAGCAAACTCAATACAGACAACTATCATGGCCTTGCAGCTGAAGGGAAAGGACTGTCCCCCTCTACCCTTTACCTTTGACAAACAGTACTAATGAAAGATTCTGGACAGATTGCTACTTTAAAAATAAAAACAAAAATGGTTCAGGTAGGTAAAAAGTTAGCCTTAAATGATCTAAATCGGATCTACACCTCTAAGTATTTCAGTGAAGACAATTTTTATAAAAGGTATTTAAAGTCCTTCAACTAACAGCTTATTTTCTGTCAATTCATATACTAAAAATAACATACAAATATCCATTTAAAGCATATCCAGATAAAAAGTTATTTGCCAGTTCATTCTCCTTTGCAGCTAAATTAATAGATTCATTAATACAGGAATCAACTGTTTGGCCTAAGCATTACTGCAACGGTAAAATTAAATTTCTGCAGCAGGAAAGATTTGTTTTATCTTTTTTCCCCAGTTGAGTATAAAAACTGGGTGCAGTTCTGTACTTCCTCATCAATATATGGAGGAGGTGAAGGTATTTGATCGTCTCGCGTGCGATCATGACACGTCATCATAATCTCATGAAAAACTGCAGCCATATAAAATACATAAAATGCATGGGCCCAAGCATGCTGACAAAACAGGGTTAAATATCTGTGGAAGAATTGCATAACAGCAAGCTGCTCTTTCACTTGGTCTTTTGAAACACTGTAGGAAAGAAGTTTACCTTTAAAAGCATCTGCCTGCTGCTCCACAGACTCCCTCACCATTTTCCAAAAGCAATCCGACACAGCAAGACTTAAGTTCTTTGTTGTTACCTGGTGTGCCTTCAGCATGCACGTCCTTGAAAAAAAAAGACAGCTATAGGAAATTCTCCTATGTATAACCATCCTTCCCTGTCCCCATTTTCTCTTCACAAGAATAAAGCTTTACTTCTTGTGCTGGACAATAACATGTCAATGTGCACCTAAACTAAAATCCAGGATCTTCCTCCAAAATACTCAGTGCAGATAATCACCAAATAAAGGAGGGGAGTAACAAATACACCGCAACCTCTGCAATAAAAGTTTAGGTACTTCAGTCCCAAAGACCATGCCACTTTCCCGAGAAGTCCAAGCTTGTCACATCAAAAATCCTCTGCTCAATGAACTTCTGATGGAACACTCAAGCTAACCCCTTTGAGTGTAACACTGTCCTCACACCCACAGCACTGATCTTTAAAATGCATTAAAGATGATATGTAGGGCTGGATTCGTTCCTCCTCGCTGTCTCAAGTGCCTAGACATTGGTCAGGAACTTAATTCTTCTGGAGCCAATGAAAAGATACAGAGGCTCAGACCTGCAGTAGAATAAACTGCTGCCTGAAGGCGTCTGCTTCCCTCCGCTGACTTACAGCGTGCACTAGAAAACCAGGCTAACGCGATCAACGCAGGAAGATACTTAAATTTAAGTGGAGGAGATCTCAAATAGCGTTTCCATACTGCAGTCCTTGTAAAAAGTGCAACCAGAAAACCTGATGCTAGCATTTACCAATATGGATTCATTTTAGTGAAAGAATAAATAGCAACGTACTTTAACAGCTTTGAATTTTGAAAAAATTCCTCTTCATACTCTTTAATAGAGTCAATACTTTCACTGCTGTTTCCTGGAGAAAGAAAAGAGTGCTGCAACAGTTCCATTTAGACCATCGTTCTATGCTACCACGGAGAAAATACGGAGAGGCAGAACTCTTACCTTTTCCTGTAACAACTGCAAAATAACCCAAAGCTTTCATTGGGAAGAGTTTGCCTTCAATTATTTGTTGGATCTATGAAAATAAAGGATAAAAAAACTGGTGACGTTTTGTAGAGACATTCATTCCTTCACGGCAGTTTTAAAGCCAGCACACGCAGATTACTATAAGGAGGAGTTTGTCACAGGTCATCAGTTCTACTGGTACTTAAAAGAAAAAAACAATCACAAAAAAGGCATGAAACTAGTTAAGGACAAAATAGCTAAATATAAAGTGAAAAAAGCAGCACAGCTTGCAAAGTACAAGAGAGAGCAATCCTATTCCAAAAATACCCTAAAGTTTCCCAGAAAACGGAACTTGCTCATGTGGCCCGCATGAAAGGAACTGTTTGATAGCAAGCTTTAGTCAGGCTGTGACTTGACTGAACTCATGTAGCTGATCACTAGAAGCAAAGCCTGAGACACATTAAAACAACAAAAATTTGTATTAAATTCAGAAATAAATACTCAAACATGCAAAACAGAGAGGTGAGGTCTATACTTTTGATCGCATCTCAAATTTTTTTGGTACATGTGACTTCAGTTTCAACTCACCCTGCTTGGGCTAGCCACGTTTTTCTCAGCAAGATCAACTTTAGTCAACACAAAAATTGTCCTTTTTCCTTGGGGATCCATTTGGCTGACTAAGTCAGTGACAATGCTGCGTTCTGCATCCACTGATCCATCTATAAAAGAAAAATATATATACATACAGCTGTATTTTAGGGACTACAAAATCTAACATTCTGAACATGCAGTACCGAAGATACAGTAGGCAGGAAAAGAGTTTCACGTTGCTACTAAAAACCAGTAAAATGATGGCTACATTCAGCTTTTGGTACATGCAAATGGATTTTTTTCTTCTTCCCAGTATCATTAAAAAATTGTTTTATTGTAGTAGTATAAGCTTCCACCAAAACTAAAATTTTCACTACTTACAAGCTTGTTCAAAACTTTAAACTCTACTATTGTCTGTTATCTTCAAAAACACTTTTGGAGAAATCTTGAATTTGTTCATCGCTATTTTCTTTTTAAGCGCTAAAAATCTTATCAAAGTTTCTTTGTGCCACCGATACTAAAGGGGCCTTAATTTATAAGCAGACATTCCACAGCATGCTGTTGGGTACTCAATACAAATTCCCACACATCAAAAAAGAGAAATAGGAGAGTTTCATACAGAGCACAAGAATCTAAAAAAGAAGCTAAACAAATAATCCTGCTACTTGAATTACCATCTAGACTTCAATTACCTTGAATACAGAGGATGATGGCATTAGGATTCTGCATATAGGCCTTGCTTATGCTAAAGATAGTTTCCTTTGTATCCGGAGCCATACCTGATGTCACAGTCTTCAACACATAAACATGCATTTTAAAAGGAAAAAGAGAAAACAGAAAGATGTTAAAAAAAAAAAGTTAACGCACTCACCAATAACAATACCTTACTTGAAGATCTTACATAGATTTATCTTTCTGTGTACTTACGCTGATGACACCAGGTAAATCAACCAATACCATTCTCTGCAAACCAGGACCTTTCACACTTAAGGAGATGGTCTGTAAAATAAAATTGAAGCGTTTATATATACTCATAAGTGTTTATATACATACACACATATCTACTTTATTGTACTATATATAATATAATATAGATATTGTAGTATATATTATGCGATATATACACTTTTATATAACTACACACGCGTAAAAATGTCATAAACAGATACATCAAAACACATTTACACACACACTAATGCTATAAACCATCAACAGTCTGTAATTTGAAAAAGGAAGTCAAATGTCATATTCCACGTATTTATGACATAAAACTGATTTTAACAATCCAAATATACTTTGCATACAGCAAAATCTCAAGTACATACAAACTGGATTGGCCAGAGTCTCATATTTGAAGGAACGCTTACAAAAGACCTGCATGTGCAGCTATTTGGCACCAAATATTTGGCAAGTCTTACCTCAGTGCTAACAGTGCACCCTTCTTTCACACTGTTTCTCATTCTGATTTCTATTTCATTTCTCAAAGCTGCAAGCTGTTTTGACAAAAACAAAATGTCAAATGTAAACTCTTCATAATCGTGACACCAACATAATAAAAAAGATGACCCAGGGATTATGTAAGATCTTTGCTTGTAACTATTAACTAGGTCTCAAATGCATGTGGGAAAAAAAAAACACGTTGAATAGATAGTTTGGCAAATGGAGCACTAAATAGATTACCTGCCCACCACTGTATACTCCAAAAAAACATCCCGACACAAGAGCTCTTCCTCTATTCTACCCACTTCAGTACTAGCCAAAAATCATACTGAGAGATAAGTCAGTATCTAATCTATTACACTGCCCCTTTCAACGTGTTTCACTCTAATAAAACAGGGGCTAACTGTCCATAAAGACATTTAATTTTTCAGAGAATTAATCAACAACACACTAACTTCAAGCCACATCTTTATACTTACATCCTCTTCCTTGGAGAGATCAAACTCCCGAGAGCTGTCTTTGAATAAAGCCACGTGGTGAGGACCTTCACTAAGGGTTACCTAAATGGTGAAAGCCTTACTTGAGAAAGCATAGTAAATCTAACCCAGAGAAACATCAGAAGTACATGACATGTATATGGCCCACCACAAACAAACAACTGTATGCAATGCTTATTTAGCACAGGACTATTTATAGTAGGGACTGTACATACAGAAACACTTATAGTAGGAACTACTACTACTCTGTGATAGTATGTGTGGCTCTTATAGAGGCCCTGCAGAACTTTTGTCATTGACTGTAACAACTCACTTGGTTAGAGGCCGTTTTACAACCAAATGTTCATATGGACTTCATTAAACACCATCATCAGAAAAAGTACTATATGGTGAATTCTGATACAGAGATTATGATGCATTTCTTACCTTAACAGGTGAACGTGTCATCATCTCCCCAGACCCTCGAGGGAATATGCGAGCTTGGGCAATCATTTCTAACACACTGGTTTTTCCTGCACTTTGATCTCCAACAACTACCACCTCAAGTGAAAGTTTAAACAACCGTTAGCTTTTGGCAAAACATTTTGGAAACTTAGCTAAAAACTGACTAAAAAAAATACATTAATCCATATAAACCCATTATGTTTAATAATAAATGCATTGCTTTAAATACAGAATCCTTAAAAGAATGCTAACTTTTAGTCATGCAAAAATTTGCACTTTTGCTTAAGCCAGTACAGTCTAACCAGCAGCCTATGAGCCTGTTCTGCCAGGACGTCTGATGAAAGAGAGGAGGAGTGCTTGTCATTCTCATGGCTGGCAGTTCCTCTCTGCTCCTGCGAACTCCCTTCATCAAGGTGAAACACTGAAAACTATTCCTCCGGCACACACTGCTTCTTCATGGAGAAGGCTGAATTCTGATGAGTTGCTGTCACCTCCCCATCTTCCTACCTTCCTATAGGTAGTACTACAGGAAGCTGTGCAAGCAGGAAGCATTCCCACCTCTCCCGCATACCAGCAATCAGATTAGCCAAATCCCTTCTCAACTCCCTCTTCCAATGGCAGTACTATTGTGGGAAGTGACCGGGAGAAAACTTTCCTTCTCCACTCCAAAGGCATACACTCTGAAAATCATACTCATTTTACCGTGCTGAGAACGTTGAGGTGCCCTAACTTATACCATCTAAAACCAAAGGCTGAGCACAGCAGCAGTGTCTAGATTAAGTTTTACCTCTGATTTGGGACAGACTCAGTACTTACATGGGTTAGTCTCAAAATATTCTTGTCACATCTAAAATGGAGAATATGTCTCAAGGAAAAAAGCTGGAGTTACAAGGAAATAGCCTACTTCTAATTCTGAATTGTTCTGGAATTAAACGTTCTATTCAATTACAAGATTGGTCTTTCAGTAAAAATTACTACTAAGTTGCATTTATATTAATTTCAAATGCACAAACCAGCAACAATAACTTATTTCACAACCTATCCTCTCCACCAAGCACTGATAATTTTTCCTAAAAGTACAAATACCTTGAATTCTTACTTACTCGAGGTAGATGATCTTGAGTGTTATAGCTGGCATCATAATCAGACAGGATGTCAAGTACTTCAGAATACATATCAATCAAAGATTTCTAAAAATAAAAATAAATAAAAACACCAAAAGAATGAACACTCCACTGATAGACAGAACAAAGACTGAGTTTCAGACGACGTCATCTATATATCCTGTAAAAGCATGTTTATTCTCTCCTAAGCATTTGAATCCTAAACTGTCTATAGTGCAGCACAGATCTCTGTTTCACAAACTTCAATTTCCAGCAAACAAAGTAATCAATTGTCTTCTGTGAACAAAAACGCTGCAGTTCCAGGCGTATCTCACTGAAAGAACAATGTACGCGCTGGCAAAACGAGGGGTCTTATGTAAAGCATGAGAGAGCAGGAGCACTCAGATTTCACAGGTTCCAAGCTAAGCAGGTGAACTGAGTTTCTTCTATTAAACGTCTAGACTTAAGTTTCCAGCTTGCTCAACAGTAAGCATAAAAAAGGGCACAGAACTATTAATCTCAGTCAGTAAAAATAAGAATTGAACTCATTGTCTTCTAGTTTCTAGAGGAAAGAGGAAGATCCACAGTGATGAGCACATGACATGCAAAGAGAGGCAGAAAAACGTCCCATTTTTAGAGTGCTCGGGATGTTGGTAAACAAAAGCAAAAGCACACTTAGTCCGTGGATTTACACGGGGCCATTAAAAGATGCTTTCCTAACCTCATAACTATACTGCTATCAATTTGAATAAGACCCACTACGAGCTGTGGACTATGTGCATATAAAGAGCTGGAAGCATATTTATTATCAAACGCAGTGAAGCTACAACAAAACGTCCAATCCACATTTCTACCTACTTAGGCAATTTATTTAGTTAGAACTAGTAACCTCCCTGAGCTCTTCAACTGAAACTGTTTTCAGAAGTCATACAGTTCGAAAAACACTTTTATAAAGCTTTAATATTTTTTAGCCAAGCGACATTTTAACACATGGGTATGTTGAAACAAATGTTGAAAGTTCATATATGAATTGTCAAACAAAATTTATAATAGAATGATGGAATCCATGGCATAATTATATTTCTATGCTGATGTGTAACACACAAGTACCTTTAACTTCCTCTGATGAATTCCCTTGTCATCTCTTTGCAGTACCAATTTTCTTAATTCTTTGTTCTCCTTCTCTAATCGCTCCAGCATTCGTTGGTATTTCAGCTTCAAAACAGTGGTACAAATATATTGTAATTATGGCAATAATACACTCAAACGAGCAAAGTTTTACCAATGAAAAAAAAATTACCCTTCAGGCAAGTCTTTCAAAAATATAGAAACCTGCATAATCACCGAAGTTTATTAAAATACAAGGCCAATCAAGAGAGGACTATTAGGAATTTTTTCTTCAGCAATACCACATCTTGACTTAAAGTTTTAATAAGACCACAATGTTCAAACTTGGGGACACACTATTCAACATTTAAGCATCTTAAACAAGCATCATTTTCAGAGGAGCTGGACATTCTCAGTCAGACAGAATTTAGCATCACTGGAAACTCTTGACTTCTCAATCAAGAAGATCATAGGGCCTAAATATGAATTTGAAAATCCAGTTTAGACCTTTTCTTCTATACTCATACTCAACTCAAGAAATAAGTGGACCAGCTCAATCCCTGTTGAGAAAAAAATTATGAGAGAGTCCTCTGAACGTAAGACATGAATACAGTTCTGACACCTTACTCAGAAAGCTGTTTCCTATTGCATGCAAATGTATTTGGTCTGTGTGTACTTTTAAGTGCAAATGGAATTTCAAGCTGCCATTACAAAAAAAAATATATAAGTAATAAATGCTTTCTAAACTATCCAATATATCCAAATATAATAATATATAAAAAGGTTGCAAAACACTGTGTCAAAACAGTTTGGCAGAGTCAGAGAGCAGATCAATTTAGAAGCTTACACATACAAAAAAAAGTAATTGTACATTAACTTGAGAAAAGCAAAGTAACGACTAATAAGATTCATATGCATAATCACTGAAAAAAATACATAAAAAACTAGGTAAAATAAAACATTCTGCCTTGCTGATTGAGGTGATTAAAACTTTAGTGCAATGAGATATGCTGAAGTTCAACTTAACTGATGAGATAAAAAGGAGGAGTCCCAACTGATAACCCAATTTGCACTGAAAAGCCCACTTAAGGTATGCAACAGGAAGCTGTTCCTCAGCCGGCTCCTCTCGTAAGACAACGAACCTAGAGGGCTTTCTAAATAAGAGCATAAGCCATATACATGAGGAAACACGGTCCTTGTTCTTTAAGGATTGCTTAAGGGAGGAAATATTTCTTTGCAAACTGGATCTGCAGCTGCACACTGTATTGCCCAATATTATGAAGGCTACATTTCAGAAGGCTGGAAACGCTCCTCCTTTGAGCTCATGAATGAAAATCCTAGTGGAGCTACCGAACACAAGATCAAATTTTAGATAATATGAAAATTTCTATTTTTGTGACCTCGTTCTTACAAAACATATACTAATATTTACTTGTAACTTTGATAGAAGATGCTAGATTTCTTACTATTTTAACCTTATCTAGTAGTAAACAGAAGCTTTATGTAAAATGAATGCACACAAGTCACTTTGTTTCCATGTATACAAAAAAATTCATATACAAATGGACTTTCTGCATGCCTGTCATTGAACTTCTGAGCTCTCTGAAGTTATGGCATGCACCTTCTAAAATGATAATTCGAAAAGCAGTCACCTTAAACTTAATCTCTGCAGTTTTCTTCCTTTCCTGCCAACCAATAAAGCAAGCTTCTTTAGTAAGCAACAAAAGAAACACTGAAAATGAGATTTCACTTGCAAAAGCATACTCTCTCAGACCAGTTTAAATTGGGACAACCAAACTAGGAAGAAGATAGACTCAAAAACTGCAGGAAGTTTGGGTTTTTGGAAGCAATGATTTAAAAAAATGTGCATTTAAAAAAATCCTACTAGTAGTTGTCGTTATTGCTCAACTTTTTAATTTCTGAATTTTTTAAAGGGCATCAGTCTGAACAGTGATGACACTGTTCATCAGTTTCTTAGAGGATCTAATTGATTTTTTTTTTAATCCCAAAGAGAGGGCACAGGAAAAGATTTTAATCTGTCTATAACAAGTTTCATACCATGCAGTCCAATCACAGAAACAACTTCAGTTAAAATAACTGCTTACTGCTTTACGAAGCAGATATGCATTTAAGCCAAGCAGTGTTTTTCAAGCCTATCTAGCACTAAAACTGCAATTATTTTTCTTGATGGAAGTTACCTGAGTGCGTAAAAGTTCTTCTTGAAGCTGATCAATCTTCTCTTTGTCAGAAACCTACAAAGGAAAATAATCGTGACTCCTGACACATGGTTTAGTTTATCCACTGCAAGTAACCAAATCACAACCTGAAAGCTTCATTCCATGTAAGAAAATGGACTTTACATGCATCTTAAAGTAACTAAATTATTCAATCAGCATTTGAGATTTAATGCTGATGGAAAGTTCCATCTGCAACAGGAAGAGCATATGAAAAAATTTCTAAGTCCCAGTGCATGCAAATGTAAAGATTAACCATTCAAGACTTAATAACGGGAAAGTGGATTTACGGTGAAGTAAAACTTTGTTTAGTGCTCAAAGTTTTCTGGCCACCGACTTGCATGCAATTTAGTGGTCAAAATGTCAGGTTCTCGTATGCTCATTTTTGGAATAAGAACAATTTTTATAGGATGCAATCACTGAAACACCCGCTTGCTATAGAAATTACTTTCAATTGAATCTTCACTATTTTTGGAAGTTGAAGTGGATTCTTACTTCATATTTGTTCTTCAAATCGTCATCCTAAACATGCATGCTTAAAGTTCATAAACTGTAGTTAGTCAGTATAGTCTTGAAGGGTTATTTTACAATCATTTAGATGACATTAAAAACTGGAAAAAATTAGAAGATATTATAATATAAAACATTTTGAAGTTCAGGGCAGAAACGTAAAGATTAGGCAATCAGAGACATTCTTAGTCAAATATTTAAAAAACAGGTTTTTCAAGAAGATGCAATAAAAACATAGATGTTCAAAACAATTCATTTTTAATACACTAGGACAAAAGCATGAATGGTGCAATACAAATTCTTATCATATAAATAATTATAAGCAACATAAGCCTGATGGCTGACTGATAAAATATTAATTTCAGAAAAAAATGATAATCAAAACAATTACTTAAAAGAATGATATAAGTAAAAACTTCGATTTGAAAATAATGATACATAACATTTGCATCTCAGATTAGCTTCGCATCAGAAAGAGCACATATTTAACATGCAGAGAGTACTGATCATTTAGAGGTCACAAATCAATTTAGTTACTTTAATTGCATACGCTACAGATTTTTTTAAAAAAAATTCACGTTCATAGCAATTGACAATATCAAGACACTAAATCCGTAGTACACAGGATCATGTATGCACTTTGCAGCAGGCAATCCCAGCTGACACTTCCCTCTACATCCGATTACTATCAGATTACTTTCTTAATCGCTATTATATCCCTTTAATCAACAAAGGAGAGGTGCTACAAATTGATTTCCTTATTGCTTCTAATGAATTCAGTGATAGCAAAAGTGCATCAGAAACAGGATGAGTTTGGCACACAGACAATTTGATGCCTGAGGCAACAGTATGGTATACGCAAACAATCATTTACAAATACACACACTTTAAACATCTCGGAGACACACGGGGAAAATAAAAACAGGCAAAGAAAACGGTGAAGTGTGGGGAGTTGGGAAAAGCAAGAAACTACAGGGAAGAAAAGGAAAACAAAACGTTTCCATGCAACGCAGACTCTTGAAGCAGCTAACGCTTTTCCACTCTTTGCTCTTAAGCAAGCTTTTCCTGAAAATATTTCTGGGGTCCTGATGCGTTTCTGAAGTAGAGAGATGACAGATGAGCTCTAACTGCTCCCACATGCACCTGTCTTATGTGCAATACACTAATGTTAAACACCGCAAGTAAAAATACTGCACTCAGATATACGTTGCATGATCTGAAGGAAACAATTACCTAGCACTAGACAACAATTCTAACAAGGACAATTAGGTGTGTCATATCAAAAATAATAAACACTTCTAGAACGAGATATATGCTTCAGCATTTGGTTCTGGTGTGCTTTGCACATTTAGCTGCAGTTAGCACACTGAATATTTTGAGCGTATAGTTCATGGTATTTCTAAACATTTTTCAGTGTTTCAGCCAATAAAAGCTACAACTTTCATAACGTTATGAAGTACTAATAGATCTATGATTTCTGTCCACTAGAAAACACATCAACTATTAAATATATGTATATATACACTTATCTATTTATTTATTTGATCCAATTCAGTACGTTTTGTATGTCCAATGCACTCCTCCTTTCCCTAATGTCATCATAAAAGTCATGAAAAAAGAAAAGTGTAGGGCAAATTTTAATTAAGTGATACCTATTTACTAAGATTATTACAAGCTCTCATTGTATTCTTTTACAGAGATACTCACTTTGAACACCTATTGCTTTCTAACAACCTTTGCCACACATTGTACAAAATAAATGCCTCTGAATATCTGGTACTTTTGAAAGCATATTTTCTATTTTTTTATATTCACTAGCCAGACAATAATTCAAAATTGAACATCTACTGAAGAAGTAACATGATTTCCAATAATGTAACTGAAAAGATCAAAACCCAGCCAAAAGGCATTTAAGCAGCAGCCAAGGAAACTCCTGCTATACAACAAGAATACGCTTTTCTGTTAAATATTTATCACTAGGCTGACACAGCAAAAAAAAAAAAAAAAAAAAAAAACAAAACACCAACCACCAAAAAACCCACATGATTTATCACTCTGGAAGGTAAGAATGACATTTTTGCCTTTAATACTCTCTCATGATTATAAGTGAGATGAGTTACTGGTATCTCTCATTATTATTCAATTTACAACGGAAATAGATTTAATATTGAAGAATTAAATTAAAATGGAAAATTCGTAAGTAAATCAGGCAACGGGGACTTTAAAGAATGGCAATGAAATGATCATGTTCTCTAGTAGGCAGGCAAGCAACTGAATTAAGTTATGGAATAAATAAAGCTAATTATGGGGGCATAAATGAACTCAACATAATTCATGCCAAAAGGCCATGAAAACATTTCAATGACAGTAACAATTTCTCCTTCCAAGGGAGAATTTGGATCAATGTTTGGAATCTTTAAGTTATATCCTCATGTCACGGTGTTAAAGAAAATGGTTTACCATCTCTTAATTTGTTTCAAGCAAAAGGATTAGTGTCACAAACAGGACACATTCCTCGTCATTAGACACGTATTCCAAACAGCACACCTGAAAGCTAAATTAGAGTTTTTATATGGAGGGACAGTTAGGTTTTCAACACTGAAAATACACGGAGTACCTGACATTGTAGGGCAGGACAGCATTTACAGGGAGAGTCCTTAAAACTATTCTATAATTCCCAAGCGGTGAAATTAGTTGCAAGGAAGTGGTAACAGGGTAGAATTTCCATCAGAAACACATGTAATATCAAGTTCATCTTTTCTTTTTTTCTGATTCCTTTTTGTATGTAGACGCACTTTTAAATATCAAATACTGCATTGCTTTTCCAGTAATTTTTACATATTCATATACTTTATCATAACCTTCAAGCAGCTATTCCAAACTCCAACTTTCTCAATATTCTGTATACAAACTGAAAAAGCCTGAAGGAGTTACCCTCATCAAAAAAAGCAAGTAAACAAACAGGGAATATTTAGATCACTGAAGACACCTAGGCTTTTCTAGTAAAATACTCAACTGGAAGAGAATGAATGCAAGAACAACAACAAAAAAAAGAACAAAAGAATCACTTTTAACTACTTTTATGAGACACCTTTTGAGATGAAGCGTATCTCCAAGGATTGCATTTCTATTATATTTTGTTATACAGTGTTTAGATTCACCACTGAGGATTGAATGCATCAGTGTTATTTTTAAATCTAGAGAGAATAATAGCTAAATAAATTTGGAAAGTGAAATAAAGGGAAAGATCACTTTCACTATCTTTGTTATCATTATTAAAGGAAGAGTATCAGTTTAGAGTAACCAGGGGTTGTAACCCTAAATCATGGTAAGAGAGGAAAATATTTGAATTTGAAATGATTTGCAGTTTCAAAGAACAAAGTGATTGCCTCCAGACCCTCTACTAAAAACGTACTGTAACGTAGCAGCACTGTGTCTAAAAGTTTGATTCACATTTACTGTGATCCTCTTTCTGTGGGATTCATCTTCAGATGTACAGAAGATTAAGTTCTGTATCCACTGTTCAATGCCGAAACTATTCAAAAACATGAACAATCACAAAGATTTCTTTAGCCAACACAGAAACGTGGTTAAGAATTACGGGTTGCAACAGATTAGACTGCAGAAAGTTTCCCAATTTCGGAGGCATTTCCAATTCATCCCAGTCGCTATATTTCGAGTAAAAAGATTAGAGCTTAAATTAAGTAAAATCATGTGCAACAATCACAGTATACCAAGATTAACTGTGCTTTACAGTAAAGAGTAGGTAAAAACACCTTTGCTGAATATACTGTAGAGACTGTAATTAACAGCAATATTTAAATGTCTGCGCAATATTGCTTCTAAGGAGCTGGTGCCATTATTAGACTGGTAACAGTATAAAGCAGGAAAAGAGGTTCCCAGAGAAATATTGTCTGTAAATGCCTATATTCGTACAAGACATTGCTGCAAGTAACAGCAGAGAAACCAGATTTGACTTGTTTTGACTATTCAAATATTTTCCTTAAATCCATTTTTAACACAAAAATTATAAATATTTTTTTATAGAGGTTGAGAACATACAATTTCAGAAAGAGTTATACAAAGAACTTGTCCTGCTTTTAACATCATGCTTTAAATGTAATTCGGTTAAACTGAATCAGGACTATATACTTGTAGTAAAGTTGGCTGTAATAATTATTTGGGCCCATGATTTAATTAAAGTTAGACTCTTCTAGCTCAAATGCATGAGGCTGAAGTGTTTGATTAGTGTGAACATAGCACATATTGTCCCTTAAGCCATCACCTTTCGCTTCTGCTGGGAAGGGCCCGTGTTATATTGGCCAGCGGCTCTGCGTGCTTCTTCTTCATGTTGCTGGATTTGTTGTTGTAACAGAATGAGTTCACCAAGCAGGCCCTGCCATGAGTTTATAATAAAAAGGAGAGGAAAAATTTGGGGTTTAAGGAGAACAAAGTTAAACCAAAGGGCATGACATAAAGACAGATAAAAAACAGGAAATGAATGGGTCAGTTCAAACAAAATGGAAATTTTATTTGCAAGATCTCTTGCTAGCTAGCTGGGACTGGATATAGCTAGCAAAACCATGCATTTTGCAAATAAACGCAGAATAAAACAATAACAATTTAGCCACATTTTTATAATAAAATTCAACTTTAAGTCGGCATTTAAATCCTAAAAAAGTTCAACTACTCTGGCTTTAAGATATTTTAAAAGATTTCAGCATCGCATTTCGATTATTCACACCCAAAGTTCTCAAGTATCAGCTGTTTTTCACAACTTAACCATGCAAGTATTGCAAGAGAGCATTGTTGATACGTCACACAAAGTTGTGCACAGCAGCTAATAGGCTCGGTTGTATTGGAAACATGCAAGTTCTTATTTTGGTCTTGCTGTCAGCAGCACAGACGGTTTATCAAAATGTGATTTGTCCTGCTACTTAATGTTCAAACTAGAAGTAATAGTTTCTGAACCATAAAGAAAATCTCTCCCTAATTCTATAGCATACTGCAGTTTAAATTACTGCTGTCGTAGTCCTTCCTGATCACTTCAAAATCCCTGAAACTCAATGCTTATTTCTTTATTTATTCAGCACTTCTGTGAAGCTCAGTTTTCTTCTCTTCTCCTTCTATATCAAATAATCTTGTAACAGTAAGCTGTCTTTCAAAAAGTTCACGCTAGTTCAGAGATGCTATGCCAGCTTTATTTACAATTTGTTCCAGAGAACATAGTTAGAAGTATTAATGAGATACTTAAATAAAGTTATTTTTAAAATATAATATTTTCCTCATTGAGCAAAACAAAAGGTTTCAAAACATGCATCACAGGAATCAAAACAAATCCTGAAATAAAATTTTCATGTAAAGTATTCCAAGACATCTACGATCAAATTATATGTTTGTTGCACAAAATACACAGGCAGGTACACATAAGGATAAACCACACAGGAGAAAATGGATAAAAAAGAAGAGAGATACACTCAAATGATCAAATGTAAACATTTGTTTAAAAAAGTGATTTGAATAGCATTGCAAGAATAGAAAAATCTTCACCTTTGTATTTTATTGAAGCACGTTAAGCATTAATTAATATCAACATTGCTGGACTAGAAAACACATTAAAACTGTGCCAAAAAAGAGATAAAACACAAATGATCAGCCATGCAGTTTCACTTCCATACAACATGGAAGTGAAACATTCTCATGGCTGCACTTACTGTTACAGGTTTAATAGCAGTTCACTAGTTGACAAATAAGGAAATTCTCAATATGACCTGAGAGACTCCCTTTAAATATTACGCTATGAGACAGGCCCAGGAAAAAACACTGACCAAAATCTGCTATAAAGACCTTTCAGCATTTAACAGGCACTGTAACAAAAGTTGTGTCATCAACTGTAACGCTGTTCAATGGGCAATTACTTTCAAGGATATTTAGTCCATATGCCTTCTTAAGTACGAAAAACCCTCTAGAAATAAAATTAACCAATTTAATAAAACATTCAAGTTTAAAAAGGGGATACAAAAGGCTAAGGTTGCTTTTCAATAACACTCTCGTCCTTTTTGCGCATATAAGTCAACAGTGTTACTTCCTTTGCTTTTCTATTTCCTTACTCTATCAGTTACACTTAAAAAAGCCCAACAACCCTTGAGCAGCATAAAACAGTACACGCAATATCTACGCTGGTATGAACCAAAACACAAAACAAAAATGGTTACCTCCCTCTCACTGGACATTACCACTGTTTCCCCCCACCAAATCAACCATTCCAGTGTAAAACTGTACTTATTTTAAAGAATTTTATCTAGGAAAAAAAAGCAATGCTGATTAATGGATTTAAAATAACAAACTGTCTAAAAATATAATCTTATTCCCATTATCAAAGAAAATCTAAAGGGAAATAACACTAATTGACATACTTGTAGAGTGACAGACTCCGCAAAGACAGCAAGAGAATGCACATGCATGATAAATAAGACGAAATAAGGCAAAACAAGTGCTTACACTCCAATTGCCTATACCTTTTTTTAATAAAAAAGCCAAAGGCATTATTTTACATTAAGCGATAGTATACTGCAGGTCAATTGAGTAGGACTATCTCCTAAAAAGTTCATGACTACAGCATTTATGTTCCATTTTCAAAAGCAATTAAGGCCCAGTTGCTACTTAGATCTTTAACATTATCTCCTTCCATTAGCTCCCACTGAGTTCAGTGAGATCACTCAAGAGAAAAAGTTAAGCCACATGAAAGCCCTGCAGGAAAAAGAATTAAATACTGAAGAAGAAAAAGAGGAGAAATGATGATGAAGTTATTTACCCAGAATACTTAGCATGAAAATCTTCAATATTAGGTTGAGAATGTAACTGTACAATGAAGCATAGCAAAGAAGAAATTAAGTAAATTTTGCTGCCTACCTTGCACAAAAGATTAAAATAAATGACATTTAAACAAAAAAAGATTAAAAAATCCTATTGTGACAGATAAGCTGTTGGCTAAACACAGATTACTTGCAAATGGCCTTAGAACTTAATGAGCAGGAATTCACAAGGACATGAGCACCAATTTTCTCATCTGTGTTGTGTATGTTTTGGAAGGCTACTTATATTACTAAAATAGCTATGCCTGACATCTATAACTTCCTTACACAGTAGTGGTATTGTCAACACTTGAGATGTCCTGACTTGGAGCACAAAATATTTTCTTTCTGGTCTTTGAGAGCCATTTATTTGTTAATGTAATTAGCTCAAACTTTTTTTTTTTTTTGCCTACAAATAACATCAGCATGTAGTTTTTTTATTTTTCCTTACAAGTAGTTCTGAAGTGACATGCATTGAAGACTATTGAATTATCATTCTCAACCTAATTTATTTTTTTTTGTATGCGTGCAGACACAAAATGCAGGTAAGACGGTGCAGACCTTTTATGTTATCAAAATTACAAAATACATATTTTACATAGAACCCTGCAGTTTGGAACTGAAGCTGCTTGAGAAGGACTTAAGGGTGCTTACTAACCTAGGATTGAGACTAAAAGGAACAACAAAGATTGTATAGTTTCCTTTATTTTCCTACACATTTGGACACCTGCCAACCAAAGTCCAGGGAAATAATTAGTAGAGAGGTTGTCCTTAAGAACTTCTTAATCGCCGGCAACTTATCAACACAAAAATGAAAGTTAATGAAAAAAATCTTACAAGACTTTTTTGAAAGATACAATAGATGCTAGACAGACTATTTCATAGAACTGGAACACAGTCGTAGCACAACATTATTTTCAGGTGTATCTGAACCTCTACCTAAGGGATATAACTGTTATCTGAGTTTCTTCTACTTATTGCAGGTGACCCTCTGCTGGCAGATGAAGGCAGTATAAGTATTGCCAAATCCTTAATAGTGAATCACATTGTCCAAGACATGATATTTTATCAAAGTATCAAAAGTTTAGATAGAAAGGCTTGTTTTGCCAGTTTTGAATAATTCACACTGAACTATTCATTCATCTACCGTTTAAGTCTCAGATCAATACTTGAGTCACATTTCTCACACCTACTTCATCACAGCTATAATGACTACAAGTTTTCTTTAAAACCTAGGCTGAGCTACAGAATTTGCTTGCTGTAAGATGGAGCTGAAGCTCTTCAGGGAGATTTTCTTAAGATTAGCAACATAAGCAATGTAAGGTAATTTTCCAAGGAGCAAATGCTGCCATTACAGTAACAGTCTGAACTAGTCCCACAGTACAAAACAGATACAATACAATAAAATACTTCACTACAATACAGCTTTATAACTGTCTTCTCTCCTCTTCCTCTTAAAAGAAAATTTCTTATTTAATCCAGGTAGAAACTGATTTAAACCCCATTTAATCACTTATCTGAACACTGCTGTAATTAATCATTTCTGACTCATCCTAGAGGAAGATTTTAGAGCCTCATCTTAGCATAATGCCCAATAACAACTCTACAAAGCACTCTTCCAAATAAGAAATTCTTAAATCTTTATCCAGTTACTGATCTTTTCTCAAAGAAACCTGGCTCATCAGCCATCAGACATACTTAATATCAAGCTATAGCATTTTATGCGTTCATACAATCACAATTCTTAAACTAGCATTGATTGGAAGTGGAAAGCATTCTGTGAAGAAAGGTGATCTAATTGATTGTCTAGAAGATGAATATAATTTGGCTCGACAATAAACTAAGTGATTATTCTATGTTAGCTATTCATAAGTAAAGTGCCTGGTTTGAAACATGAGCATAAAAACTGAATATACTGACCGGCAAAACACCACTTCGAAAGCATAACATCCTGGATATAATTGGAATAACAAAAATTAATATCCTAGACCAAGTTTTGTAAATCTTATTGGTTTAATAGGGGCTGCTACTCCCTCTTTCAGCCAAAGTTTTTTTGGCAAAATTAAAATGTAGTGGTCACTGAATTTGAAAAAACAGAATAGTTAAGTATTAATGACATTAGTGGCACTCAGCACAAAACTGAGCTAATTCAGCCACCGAAGACAATAAATTAAGATAAATATTCTTCAAAAATCAATAGTAATTTTTTAAACAGTGAAGTCTGTACTAAGCCATCTATCAAGAAAAAACAAAATATAAATGCGCAGCTTGCTGACAAGGGGGTGAGAAAAAGCTGTATTTATTTCTAATGTAGAAATCGGTCACTGTTCCAAAAGGAAAAATTGACTATAAAAAGTGGTCTTTGTATAGGTTTCACTATATATTGACATGCAGAATTAACATAGACCAAATACATACATGTCTGAACATGCAGAATCGTCTTTCATGTAAAACCTCATTTACAGGTTAGCAAACGCTGGGAATTCGTCAGTTGCAAACATAAATAGGATACTTTACAAATTTCCCAATATATATATTGCTGTTGTTCCAATTTGTTTAGAAATTTTTAAAATGTACAGAGGCAAAACGAAAAGCCTTGCCATTTAGCAATTTAATGGAAATAAGATCTGCTATTCATGAGAGCAAAATATTAAATTTCTTTACCGAAAAGAAAAAAGGGTAAAATTATTAGTTATCAAAATATAGTAAAAATTGTTTCCAGAAAATGTTAAAAAAAAAGTTGTATAGACTTTCTAAATGAAGAAAGTAAAAGGACAGAGTGCTTTAGGAAATACAAGCGTTTTATTAAGACAAAGATCCACATATAAGAATCACAAGACTGAAAATGCCAATGGAAAGGCGTTTGCAAGTGGAAGAGCTTCAAAATAACTATAAAAGCCTAACCCAACATCAGTAAGAAGCTCTAAGCTCAAGTGCCACTAGGAACGTGTCTTGGAAAATTACATATGCACACAGGATACTTAAAAGGACATGTTTATCACAATCCAAGGTCTTGAGAATGTAATTTTGAAAGATATTTATGATTGCTTTGTATTTTCTTTATCACAAAATATGTTGTCATTACACTGTTTATATATTAAAAACATCAATGTAGCCTCAAGCCATTTTCAAGGATAAACTCTATTCATGCTGCTTTGAATAAATATCCACAACTAGATCCTGAAGCACTTTTTTAAAAAAATACCTGATGGCAAGACATTTTTGTCTTTGAAAGAGAATAATTTACCTTCTTGTACTGCTTGTCATTTTCATATCCCTGGTCTGTAGCTCTGAATGCTGTTTCTCCTGGAGAACCTGGGACATAATTACAGAAACTCATTAGAACATCCAAAATGCACTCTAAAATTCTCAAACTACAACTAATCAATATAAAATAAAAGTTTAAACTCATAAGTATTGCAGCATCAATAATGTTTGAAACTGCAATCAACCCAATAAGATTTACCATATGTAAAGAAATTGAAAAAGAAATTCAGTTTAAAATTCATCTGAAAAATGTGTAACCAATCCAGTTTGAGACTCAATGAAGTTGTTATAACAAGGGAATAGGCAACTTCAGCTAGACTATTTACATTCTGAAAGCATTTCTTTAAGTGAATACATTTTGTTAGACAACAGATCATAGTACCAATTCCATTTTGTAATGAGAAAAAGAATACTCTTTCCTATTGCAAAGCCATAGGTTTTCCAAGCAAGCTTCTGAAAAACGTCTGAAATAAAAGTCATCTGCTAAGGACTGTGGCAGAGAAACATCAACTATTCATTTGCACTGCAGAATCTCTGTATCTTAGAGCAATTGGATGATATTTCTAAATCAATATTAAATTACTGCAAATAGTTTTGTTTACATTGCTATTCACTCCCTCTTAGTATAGCAGCGTTCTAAGAATTTGCTTTAAATATGCAGGTTAAGGGCAGTAAAAACGGCTTTTACACACCTAACAACAGAAGCAGATCAGAAGCTCCTGTGACTTCACTAACCAAATTGTAACCTGTGAAAAATCAGCAGAAGAGGGGAAACAAAAATTATAAATACAAAACAAAATGCAAAACAAAGATGAGGGATCTTTGTCTTATTTGGAGGACCACACAACCGTAAACGGCAACTATGCCCATGTGAGTACGATAACAAATTCCATTATGATAGGTAACATCTCTCAGTCCCAGGTAATAATATACTACTAATTTAAACAGCCAAAATACATAAGAGTGTCATCTACTGGTCACTCTGTTTAACTTGATCCCTACTTAGGTGCGTTCTGACTCTCATAATAAGATGAAAAAAAACTAATCCCACAACAAACACACTTAGGGCAACAACTATGCCACCTCATAGACATGATCTTTCATGAACACAAATTTAAGCGGTTTTGTAATTATTTAGGAAGGATCTTTCACTCTGCTACAAGAATGATTGGGTGAAATTTTGAGCTGTACTAAAGTAGTAAGATATGAAGATCAAAACAATCATTTCTAGTTTTTAAAAAGAAGTATAGTGATCAGGAACCTATTATCTAAATCTCCTAAAACTTGGAAAACACTTAGTCTACTAGTACACGGACGCACTGCATTGACAATACATCCCACAGTTTTTTCTGGAGGATTTTAGAACTCCTACACACTCCTGTGGTCTGCTGTCCCAGAAATGCAGCCCCTACCTAAGCTAAAACTTCCAGTAGGTCCTTCTGTAGCTGCATCCAAATGAAAAATACCGCTCAACTCAAAAGAATACCTTAGTTATAAATCTCTTATTTCACATGCTTCCAACATTAAGAACCATGGTTATTTAATAATCCAGCCCTGTCCTCTTGTAACAGCTATAGTGCTTTACTGTTCAGTGCCAATCTCACCTTCTCCAAACTCCAGCTGCACACCTTCAGCTCTCTGAAAAACACCTAGCTTTCAACCTACTTGTTTAGAGTTGAACAAGAATTCTGCTTTTCTCTTCAGTTATACATTTTGGTCTTCAGTACTTACTAGTAGAATTCTTGCTTTTAAAAATACACTTACCTGTGTCCAAAACACTTTCAGATGAGATATTCAATGAAAGGCATGCATTTTCAGGATCCTCTTTCTTTTAGTGCCTAAAGACATATCTGTGACCTCATCTTGTAATAATATACCTTTTCAAAATTAAAACTAAGCCGAAAAATTGTTCTCACCAGGAGAAAAAAATCCTTTCAGTGAAGTGAAGCTCTCTCCAATCTTGTCAAAGTCAGGCAGAAGTTTGGCAAGGTCATCTGCATCAGGAAGGGCTTTGATAAGTTTATCTAGGAAAACAGGGTAAGTTTACATTAGTAAGAACTAATGAGTGTTTTTTCTATTATTTTCTGTTAACAAGAACAGCTTAGGCTGTCAAACCTAGCAATTGTTTTAGTATATGGCTTTTTTTGGTTTTGTTATCAAAATATAAAGTATCTTTCCGTATGCACCTCCCCTCCCCCCACCCATTACTGTTGGGAAACATTATCAAATCTGAAACCCAATTCCTTTTCTAGACTTTGAACTTGCTGATAACTTAGTTGCCTTAGGTACTTTAAAATTCCGTAAAACTTATTGCTACTTTTCACCATGTTTGATGCATTATTCCTCCACCTGCTTTGGAAAGGGTGTTTTTAAATTACAGGACACCATAACTGCAGCCACTCTGAATACGTTTTAGGAAAAGCTTACTTTTTCAATTTCATATATAAGCCGATTTTGTAGTCCTTTAGAAAATCATATTAGTTTTACACCACTACACAAGTGTGGTATTCACTGACAATATAAACAAGAAACATTTGTCTGTTATTCAGTCTTTACATTTAAGATTATCTATACAACATTCATACATGTAGTGGAAGCCTTCATAAAGATTTTTAAAAAATTAACACCACCTTAATACCCTGCATATATAAGAAGCAACTCCACGTTTGTTTCTTTACATTTCTATCTTTCATTGGATACCACGTGCTAGAAAACTACTGTAAACAGAAGATTCAGAAAAATAAAATTTAAGGTTCTCTATTTCTTTATTCTGTGTTTTCAAGATAATTTTGTAGCTACGTAGCTTCACTGTTTCTTTCGCATTTTCAGTTAGATCTGTTAATTATACATGTCTTACTTCTCTATTTATATATTTTTTTTCCTGTAGGCATCACCCATATAGAAAGAAAGTACTTCTGCCAAAAACTGCAAAAAACCTAAGTCCCCCATTCATGCTGGAAGTCTCCTTTGAATAATGTTAGAAAGTTCATGGCTGAATGAAAGGATTGAGTACACTGTCAAACTACAGGATAGATTATGGAATGCCATGCTAAATGATGCTTAGTTTCTTCCTGCAGAAACATTGGTACAAATACCTTGGGTAAAACGCAGTCCAAACCCTTTAACAATACAAGTTCACTCAAACTAAGCTATGAAAATACTGTTCCATTGGAGAGAGGCATTGAGAACCTATGTCTTATGCACTAGTCTTTAGGTACAGAGTAATATTTTAGCTTTTGTGATACCAAAGTCTATATGTTCATCAAGCTCCCAAATGAAGTCAGGAACAATCCACTTATATTCATCAAGATCAGGCATCATGTCCTTCCACTGATCATATGTCTAATATGAAAAGGAAAAAGAAAGCAGTAGAAAAAGAAGACGTTATAGATAAGTATATGAGGACATCTATTGAAAATATTACATCAATTAATATAAAATATACTAACCCACCACCTTTTACCATACTACTTGGGTCCTTTTCAATCTATTCTGGTTCTCTAAACAACGTGTTTTATTTTCACTTATCTCAAACTCTTACTGTCTTTATTTAATCGAACAATGATATTCCAAAAACACTGTTCTGAAATGCAACGACCAACATAAAATGCATAAAATAGCCTCCACAGATAAATACCTTCTTAGCTGTATAACCACCACCTACAGCAGATCCTAATATAAGATAGCGAAGTTTGAGAAGTCTTGAAGCTAGTCTAGCTAGCCAAAAGTTCCTCTGGGACTGGAACCCATATTTTACATACAAAAGTTTTGTTTTCCTTATGGGAAGACGATTAAGAGAAGAGAACAGCTGAACAGATATCCTTAGCGGAGGTCTTTGAAATTTTGAACTCGGATAGTAGGGATGATGTACACTTCGGGAAACAAGATGCAAGTTTTGAAGTGGTGATTTTCTTTTTATTCCATTGCTGCTATTTGCTAGACTCCGGCAGATGACGCTAAGAAAAAGAAATAAAAACTCTTAAGTAACAGATGTCCTCACACACCATTAACTCGATAACCTATTTAGAAGCATTTCACATCACTTTTTAGCTGGTTACAGGTAAATTAGAGCATCACTCTAACTATACGATTTCCAGTTGTCATTGCTTTGCAACAAGGGGAAAAAAGAAAAGCTGCAACAGTGTTAACAGGTATACCATATGTAGTGATCACAGAAAGAAAACCTTAAATATCATTTACTAAGTTTGTTGTTGAGTGAATTTAACTTCCACACTGAATTAAGGCAAATTAAACGTTTGTGGTAAAACATTTTTTTGGTAAACAGGGGCCTAGAGTCCACAGAAGACTATGATTGACTTGCCACACACAAAAAAAAAAGCATAACAGTTTTATCTATCTTGTTAAACAAAGTTAATTTTAGAGAACATTAAGTTTGCAGAGGACTCTCTACGTTCAAAAACCAATACACAGATGAAAATTCCTTTTGCAAAATGCATTGATTTTTTGGCAGAGTTGGCTCTCCCTTGCAGCTGAAGGAACTAGATGATATCTTTCAGTTTCTTTCACTCTTATTTTCTGCGGTTCTAAGATTATAACATTATTGTTTGGTCTTAGGTCACGCGTAGACAAAATAATTTCTGGACAGGGCTGCACTGTGGTTGATGTAGGTTCAAAAGACTAACTCATATTTATGCAGGATGGAAAATTTCAGCCTCAACGATTTGTGTTTGGCAAAATAAAAACAAGGTTCAGTGATGAAAAGCACTAATGCTGCCCATAATAAAACACACCTATAAGCTGGAATAAAGCTCATACTTTCAATTACTTTCAATTTCTACTGTACTTTCAATTCACTACTGTATGCATACCTGAGGAATCTGTGATAGCTTTGCTAGTCTAGAGAAAAGTCAAGAGATCTGAAAAAGGTAATTTCTTCTATACTAGTCCTTTCTCACCATGTCAGAGTGGTTAATATTAAAGCATTCAAAGAATGCAAAATATGAGTGAAGTAACAGTTCTTGAAATTAATGCTTCTTTCTTGATTTTTTTTCAAGGTTTTGAACATTATCAAGTATATTTACTTACAAAGGGGAAAAACATAAAAGAGGAAAGCACTTCATCCCATTGAGAGGGGAAACAATTTTAAATGATTTAGGATAATGAGGTGAATAAAGACAGCTTAAACAAAATACATAAATGAACTATATGAAATGGAAAACATTACAAGATTTTCTAATCATGTACTCCATAATCTGTGCAGTTCTTTGCCTTGAGATTTTCTGGGTACCTAAGGGAGCTGATTATATGACGTTGTCTTTCACAGGGATATTCTTATATGCCCAGACAACTGGAATAGCCCTGTTATAAAAGTGCTTTTGATGCAGGAATTGAACTTTTATAGATGGAAGATAAGTTAAATATCAGAATTATGTTTATTAAGACATTTTCTTCTCTTAACAGGCCAACTCCAATAACATCTACATATAGAAATTGTCGTTAGGGTAACAGAAGGCTTGAAAGAAGGTAACTCCACAGTTTGTTGTTATGAAATTCCTCTTTCATAAACGCCAACATGATTCGGAAATTTATCCTCCTGCTGCTGTAACTCTTTATACTGTATAGGAGGCTGTGCTTCTGCAATAAAAGCTTAATATCTAGCAAGAGCATAATAAACAGGAGCAGGATAATCCCTCAAGTGTCCCTCTGACAAGACAGTCAAAAATTAACTACAGATAATACCAATAAAAAGTGGCTATATGACAACAACAACAAAATGAAAGTGCCTCCACACTAGAAATGCTTCAATTTCTGCTTTTGAAGCCAATTTTTGATAAAGTTGTGGTAAGCCCATAAGAAGTAGGTGGATAATTGTGCCTCGCTTCCTTTGCTTTGGCTGTCACTGTTATTACATGGATATTTAGTCCTTTCAATAGAAGTCAAGCGGTAGTATATACTCTGACAGTTATTTCTCATTATTAGTCTTCATCTAGATTAAAGGAATTGCTTTTAATTTTATCTAACTACACTTCTTTGTCTATGATTGTTCTATTAAACATAGTGTCTTTTATAACACTCATTCTGCACGATTAACTTGTCCATAAAGTTGAGTTCCATCCCAAATTGCTATGTCAAGAATTCGATCAGCAACTGCATTGCCTTTTGAATGTCATCTCACACATCAAACCTCACATGCTTTAAAAGCACATATAAAATTTTATATTTCGTGAAAATAAACCTCTACTTGATCATTGCACCAAAATTTCATTTCCTTCTTCCTTTTCTTCTCTCGCTGTAATAAATTACTGATGAAAGCTGACAAAAGAATCATATTAAGACCTTCACTGAAAAACGCTGTTAGGTGGAAAAGGGAACCAAAACAATGATGTCACATAAAATGTTTGAGCCATCCTCAATTTAAGGCCTCTAGAAAGCTGTTTTTAATAAAACAAAGTCAGCTTTCTGGACCCAACTAGCTCTGCCATTAGAATCTGCCTGATCCCAAGCCAGTAACCAGAGTACTTTGGCGCTGCACAGAGCTAACAGACCACTTCTTCTTATCTTATCAGGTGTCTATTACTGTGATAGCCATATGTTCCATCTGGAAACCATAATACCTACATTCTATGCATACTGATCCATTTAAAGAGTTAAACTATAAATCTCACCTCAGCTGGGACAAAGCTTCTGTAAAGTTCAGTGTTATACATCTCTAATAGCTATGACTGCAAAGTAATCTTTGAAATGTAATCAAACAGAAATCATTGTAGTATTTTCTTTATGAGTCAGTGCTAGACAGCACTTATATTCCTACTACTGCTCCCAAATCTTCAGGGAAACGGTGCAAGATTACAGACCACGCAGTTTCACAGCTCCTGCCGGGAATTATCCAGGAAATCACCGAAAAATAACATGAACAGAAGGCAGCCTCTG